TTTTTTTTTTACCAATACGAGAGTTTTAACAAAAATTAATTTCACAATTTGTGTCTATTTTTTTAAATGTTTAGGGTGGGGGGGGGGGGGGGGGGGGGAAACATTGCCAACAATCCGTAAATTTTAGGACAATCCGTAAAACTTTTAGCTAAAAAAATGCCTTCTCTGTAAATGTCCGTTAAAAAAATATTTCGTTCTTCGTAAAAAATTAAAAAAGACACTTTTGACATCTTTTGAGGAAATAAATAAAGCGGGCTATCTCAAATTTTGTGATCGATTTCTGAACATGGTTACACTCTATTTGAGAAAAGATAGGCTCTTAAGATTTAACAAAAAACTATGAATGGTCAGAAATATAATTTCATGAAGTACTCCATTAAATCTCCCACCTTTTCTTTACCATCATACTAAAAGGAAAGAAAATGATAAAAAAAACGTAAAAATACATTTTTAAATTTTACATTGCAGACATTTATTTGTTTTAAATTGTATCAATAAATAGGTGACACAACGTTCCAGGCGTTATTTGTGTAGAAAGTCTATTAGTATTGAAAATATAGGCTAATTCTTAATACATAGGCCAAAACATTTTTGTCTGTGCATGTCAGAATGAAGGTTTTTTTCAATTTCAAGGGAGGTAGCTTGTCTTTAACTGCTCTGCCCGGAAGTTGAGTTAAAATATTTGGGTGCTATTCCTTGGAGAGTTTCAAACAACAAACAAAACAGAGACGGGAGGAAATCGCTTCGACGATCTTCTTATTTCAGATGTGCACGCGGTAAGTGAATGTTTTGAAACTTCTATTATGATTTATAGTATTTTCTGTACCAAAAACATTTAATTTTTGCTGCTTCTAGTAAATTATCTCATGTAGTCTGTCCTGTACGTTGCGTTTACCGAATGAATCATGTGGTCCAATGTGGATGCCGTCAATGTTTTGTGCTAGTAATAGTAGTTACAGTTAGTAATAATAGTATAAGTAGTAGTCACGAGTGGCGTTTATTTTAAACATAGTCTTGTGTGTTGTAGGCGTAGGTCTTCGTCTGTGCTGGTATATTGCTTTCAAGAGTGTCAAGTGTCACTGGCAAGACTAAAATTGAACGCATGTTCATGCATAGTGTATAATTAATGTAATGATACTGATTTATGTATCGTGACATGAGTAGTATGTACTGTTAGTCACTGTTAGTAGTGTTAGTTTATGAATTCGTTAGTGTATGAATTCCTTCGTGAACTACTTCTAAAAAAATAATGTTTTATTTGTAGCCGTTGCGGCATTGACTTTAAGATTCTGTACTCAAACTGTTGTCGTTGTTCTTTCGGATGTAGTGTATCACTTTCTTGAAAATGAAGTTTAGGTAATCTACCACTTGAGCGTCCTCCAAGAAAAAATCCAGCTGTTCCTGTTGAAAGGCTATTTAAACAACTATTCTTATATTATTTTTAATGACATTGGATGTACGTATTCATTCCCATAATAATAGACAATTTTTTAATAAACAATTAAAAAATAAACAATAAACAACTATAACAATTTTTTTGAAATAGAAGATAATGTGTGAACATGTAATGGAATTATGCATAGTTCTCCCCCGCTCCAAGTTGACTATGAAGTTTAAAAAAATATAATTTCCACGAAAATGGTTGTGGTACATGAATCCACGTAAATATGAAGGGGAAAGATCACCGGTGCTTCTTGTGCCAAACTGTCTTTTCAGTTAAGGCTTTCTGAGCATTCACGTTTTCCACATTCTGTGTGTGGACATCCATGTTATCTGGATAAAAAAAAATAATTGTAGTCTCTTTTTCTTCCTGGCATATCGGTAGCTTGGCAAGTAATAATTATTTAAATGTATTAGTATTGTGCTATATAACTTTATAGCCTCTATACAGAAGCAAAAATATTAACAGACTCCATGTAAGAATAGTTGTTTAAATAGCCCTACCATCCGGAAAAACTGGATTTTTTCTTGGCCGACGCTGAAGTGGTAGATTACCGAAGTTTAATAAAACTGAGAACTTTGATACTATCATATAATCATAATCATAATCATACTATTTTCAGTACAAAAGGCCCTAACCTTAGTGATTAGTGACTTAGGAGACTATATAAATAGCCAATAGGCTATACAATTTAATAGATTTAGGCTACTGACTCTCAATGAAATGGCTTTAGGCCGATTGATAGTTAATAAGCCCTAATGATTAGGCTAAACTAAATAGATTTGTAAATAATAGTCTGTTCCATCGCAGGGGTGCCTTCACCCAGCAGGGCCTGCCTTTGCTGCAGGCAACTACCCGAAGCGTCAAATTCTAGGGGCGTTATTTTTATCCACAATAAAATATTATTTTTATACTTAATTTCACAGAAAATAAACCAATGTGGATAAAGGGTAGGCCCTATAACAGCTTTTTGAACGTAATAATTTGACATCCAAAACTATATTTGTTACAAAATTTTAACTGTTTGAAAACATAACCAGCATTTATTGATAATAATAATACTACATTGCATATATTTATAGAGAGCGCGCCAAGTGATCAGTTTTTCAAAAGTTTTATTTAGGCTGTTTTAAAAAAAAAAAATTCCATTTAAAATGTTATTTTATGCTATAAAATTGCTTATAAACATGAAATTTATTGTTATTGATTTTTTAGGGAAAAGTTTATGTAAATTATTACATTCATTGAGGTAAATGTTGTCAATTTGTATTAGAAAATATGTGTGGGGAGGGAAAGAGCGGGAATGCATAAAAACATATCTATTGATGTTGAGCCAATTTTTCAACCTTCAACTTAATTAGCTCTTCATATATAAAAAAAAAAATAGGGGCAGTTTCATTATGAAGCTATTGAAGTTGACTGAAACCTTGTTATTGTGTTGAAATCTTCAGTATCATGGTTGATACTGGTATTAATTATTTTATAGAACGTTTATAGCCAATAAAACATTGCATTAATTACTGGTATTATCGTTGAAAAATTTACAACTACAAAATTTGAATTATGTGCCAAAAATACTTTGCATTGTACATATGCAGAAAATCAACGCTCAATGTTCTTGTATGTTTAAAGTCAATGTTTTTTTTCAAATTTGTAGTTTCTCTTCAAATTTTGCTGATAAATAAAGTCAGCTTTGCAACTGGAGAAAGAACTTTTCTAAACATAGATTGATTAAAAGTCAGAAAAGCTAAAATAATTAGCTATTTATGTCTGTTGAAAATAACGTTGCCAGTTGACTACATTATTGGGATGTCATAGGTGCTTTGCTACCACAAAAGCCAGAAAAATTTGTTGTAGAATTGTAAATTAGTTTTGATTCCAATAATTTTTTTTTTTTTCAATTCAAAAATTTCATACTAACTGCATGCTGGAAGGAAGAATTTTTTCTTGTTATAGTTATGTAAAAGTCACCTTAATTTCAAACAGATAAGTTTTCAATGTTCTATATCAGGCCTGCACAACTCAAAATGTTATTAAGAAAATAATAAGAATAAAGAATATTTCGTTACTTTGCGGGCCACAGAGCTAGCTGAAACATTATGCTCTCTACATTTCTACACAAAAATATAAAAATAAATAAAACAATATTCAGGCTGCAATGCTATTGTCAGTTACAAAAAAAAAAAAAAAAAAAAAAAAAAAAAATTTCAAGCAACAATGCTATTTTAAATTAAAAAAAAAAAAAAAAAAAAAAAAAAAAAATTAGCTGTCATATTATAGAAAGTGTCTGTTGCATATTTAGGCTAAGATTGTGGATATAGTATTTATGATTAGTAGTGCCTATATGTTATTAAGAAAATAATAAGAATAAAGAATATTTCGTTACTTTGCGGGCCACAGAGCTAGCTGAAACATTATGCTTTCTATATTTCTACACAAAAATATAAAAATAAATAAAACAATATTCAGGCTGCAATGATATTGTCAGTTACAAAAAAAAAAAAAAAAAAAAAAAAAAAAAAAAGAGAAAAATACATTGAAAATAAAAAAAAAAAAAAAAAAAAAAAAAAAAAAATTAGCTGTCATATTATAGAAAGTGTCTGTTGCATATTTAGGCTAAGATTGTGGATATAGTATTTATGATTAGTAGTGCCTAATTTATAAAATATAATAAAGGTGAAAATTATTGTTAATATTAAACTGATCAATATCAATAGTCTGCAATATCCTTAGAGATATGCCTACTAAAAAGCATATGGCTCATAACTTTTAATGTTAAAATATTAAATGTAATTATTGTCTAGAAAAACTGATATAGTTTTTTTATAAAAGAATATAAATCATTTGAGGCTCTAAGTTGTGCCTAAATATTTTTTTTTTTTGGTTGTGTTTTCCATCTGATATTTATGCTTATTATGGACTAATTGAGAGATAGGAATGGACAGATTTAGGCCTATATTTAGTTAAAATTTTCATTGTAAGTTCTAATTGAACATTATTAATTGTGAACTTTTTTATAAGATTCTATACTGTAGTAGGCCTATAGTTAAACTATTATTTTGAGAAAAATTAATATTCTTTTTAATTTTTTAATTGCACCTGTATCATTCATTCAAAACAAGGTCAGTCTGATTGTCAAGTAAGCACACGAAGGCCATGGCTGAGCCGGCAGCCCACAAGGATGAGACTATAGACACACATTCCGAACATCCACACCATCATCATCAAAGCCACCATGCCCATTTCCTGATCCCCCAAGACCAAGGTAATGACTTGTAAATCTTATTTTCTTGTAACAAGCTCTACCATACTGACAAAATTTTGAAATAGTCAGCTGATTAACAAAATAAATCTTAAGATGACTATGAAAGGTCAGGGATGCGATTTAGAATTGGGGGGAGGGGGGGGTTGATAACCCTTAAAACACAAGATTATTGCAGAGATTATCTGACTTACCTTGTCAAGAAGATCTATACACCCATCAGATTATAGTTTTTGCCAACTCGTATATTTAAACACAGGTGATAGCAGAATTCACTTTCTTGCAGATGATCTCAGCGCTCACGACTCCAAGATTTTGTTTGAGGCACTTTCCGAGAACTCGGTCAATGTGAGGCTAGGCTTCCTACAGTACAAACATGTTTACGAGGTGCACTTTTCAATCGAGCACGAGCTGGGGAAAGAGATCAACTTCAATGCTTTAGACAGTCTCAATGCTAAGATTGACTCGGCCAAGCCTTCTGAGAATGGTGAGGAAAATTTTTTGTGAGACACATGAACCCCATTTTTAAAATTTTATTAGGGGAGACTAGTTACAGTTTTGTTGAAAAGAATATTGTCATAAATTTAAAATATATGAATTTATGTTCAAACAAGCTTTGACAGGAAAAAAACCTTGAATGGGTGCAGTGGTGTAACTAGGGTTGGCGTCACCCGGTGTGGTAAGCTCAATGTGTCACCTACTTGGGACTTCCACGATGGATTTCTTCTAATTAACATAAGGACGCAGTATAACAAAGATAAGAACAAAAACAGAATTAATTGAAGTGAATGTCTTGAAGTAAATGTATTTAAGAACTTTAACTTGTACTTATAATCGCCCGACCACATTGTATTTGGTATAAATGGTAAGCTTTATTTTTCAGAATTTAGATAAATATAGCTTCCTGTCACTTACAAAAGTTACCAAACACTTTCATCGGCATTGAATCAGGGTCGAAACGTTGTTTTTCTGACCTAACTATAGGGTCACCTCATTTCTGACGCATAAACCTTGAACTTTTAATAAAGCTGACATTTCGATGGGTTACAAGTGCGGAACATTTATTCGGGATCGGTTATCCTTTTATGAAATTTGGTTAGACCCAGCAGTGTGTGCTCTGTAAAAGTGTGATTTTTCCAATTTGGTGTCACCCCCCCCCCCTGAGATGGTGTCACCCCCCCCTTGAGATGGTGTCACCCAGTGCGGTCGACACCCTCCCTTGCTACGCCACTGAAGGGATGTCAGTCCAATTTCTGATACAAAATTACAGTGTCTTTAAAAACGTGTTTTATATAATTTAGTTTTACATTTTATAATTGTAAAAGAATTTGTCTTGCAGGTCAAGGCCATGATATAGTACTGGTATTTAGTGCAGTGAAAGAAAAACTCATGCAGGAATCAATCACATTGACGAGTAAGGAAAACCCCTCAAAGATCCTGACCCTCGTTTTCCATGCTCGTGTTCTTGGTAAGTGTATATTGTGGCGAACCGTTCTTTTGGACACTGTAGCCTCCTGGGAATGGCCACACTCTTTTTTTTTTTTTTTTTTTTTTTTTTTTTTTTTTNAACGTGTGTGTTTAAAATCTGAATTCCTTACGTTTGAAAGGATTTGTATTATATAAAAAATAAGGGTTAACATATAATGTATGTTTTTTTTTTTTTTTTTTGGTCTGTCTGCATGCAATTTTCAACAATCCAGTTATACGTCCACTCCACAGTCCAATGGTCATTTATATTTTGTTTCTTTATTAAGGTAAAGGTAAAGGAACACCGTCACTGAAGAAAGGTATACACTGTATTCGGGTGGAGTGGGATGAGGAGTCTGATGCTAGTGACTGGCAAGGGTTCTAAAGTTATTTTATGACTTTTCTTTTGTAGCTGTTGCTTGTCCACCTAATTATCAAAAAAATACTTGTTGGTCTGAATGAGTGGACCAACACTTGGGAATAGTGTGATCGGTGGTGTCTGGTTGGAGTATAATAAATGATTTCATTTTTGTGCCTCAATTGTGTGTTAGTTGAGTGTATTCTTAATCAAGAATGCCTTGATTTTAATTTTTATCCCACGTCCAAGTTTGGTATAACCATTTCCTCCTGATCTACTGCCAAAAACTTAAATATTCGGAAACAATTTTAATACTTTTTCCCAACAAAGTGAAAAATTACTTTTACTACTTTGACTTTTTTTTACTTTTTGTGTCATATATCAACTGAAGATTTCATACATTAATGATCTGAAACTTGTTACATCTTTAAGATGCTTTTCAGAATAAAAGAGATGTATTAATAAAAAATTTTAAATTTCCCTGCTGATGAAAGGTATTTTTTAGGAAATCTGATGCCTGAGTGAGTGCTTAAATGAGTTTTCTCCATGATTTCTCCATCATTGCGTAATTTTGTATGATTTTTACCAATGTGTAACTTTTGTAAAGTTTTTTACCACATAAACAGGCTGCTTCATTGATTAACTAAACCTTTTCAATTCATCGACTAAAAATCTGTTAAACTACATTTTCATTGTTAAATACTTCATTCATTCTGTTGTGTTCATTCTACACAGTTTTTGTTATCGAAATTTTAAATTAAAAAATTAATGTCCGTTTGTTCTATGAGGAGTGTCAATAACTTTTGTATGATTTCGTTGTTAGTTCATTTTATTACGGTTCAAAATGAGCAGCATTTTTGTTAAATCATGGTAATAGTTTTTGTTTATCATCACTGTTGTAGTCAAAATTTGTGAAGTTGTAAGTGAAAGTCGATTAAAACAAAATCACAAATCACCTAGTCTTATCCATTGAAATTATGTTTTATTAAAATACTTATCATTTGAGACCTTAGAACATCACGTAGGGGTTATCAACATATATTAACATATTAACGCAGTGGGTCTCCTCCTATTGGTTCTGACTCAGCTAGTTTACCATATAATAATATATTGACACACACTGGGGTTTAAAAAAAAAAAATGAAATTTACCAGACAGCTGAACAAGCTTCTGAAGTTACATTAGCGCCTACGATGTTGTTGGTCAGCTCTGGTCACAATGAACACAAACCATTGCTGACCGCTATCTGTTTAAAACAAAGCACATAGTTACGAGTGTAGAAACTTTGGGCAGACACTGGAGAGTAGAAAGTTAGGGCAGACACTGGAGAGTAGAAAGTTAGGGCAGACACTGGAGAGTAGAAAGTTAGGGCAGACACTGGAGAGTAGAAAGTTCGGGCAGACACTGGAGAGTAGAAAGTTCGGGCAGACACTGGAAAGTAGAAACTTGGGGCAGACATTGGCGAGTAGAAACTTAGGGCAGACACTTGAGAGTAGAAAGTTAGGGCAGAGGCAGACATTGAAGAGTAGACACTTAGGGCAGACACTGGGGAGTAGAAACGTAGGGCAGACCTGCTTGGGATTACATTAATTTTTGTTGTTGTAAAATCAAGAAACATGAATCATACGTAGCCATTGACAAGACTTGTGACAAAGATTAGCTGGCTGGATTTCTGTCGCAAGTCTTGTCAATTAATTTCTTTTAGGGTCGGCGTACATGTGTTGATATGCCATTGAGGCCAAAAAATGTGCAAGTTGTCATTGAACGCAACCCCTACTCCCATTTTAGGGACGTGCGGAATGGGTACTTGCCCGGGCGCTAACATAAGTGGGGGGGGGGGCGCCAAAATTGTCTTTTAAATAGGACCTTGATAGCGAAATTAATGGACACAATCCCATCCTTGCAAAGAAAGGTGGCGCAAATGATCTTTTTACTAGTCTTCCCCGGCGGCATCGTGCCTTTATTTAGAGTACCGGTAGGTATAATTAGATACCGGTATCGCCCCAGGCGACACTTTGTCACGGCCTGGGCCTGCGTCACGGCCTGGGCCTGCCCTCCGACCCATCCCACAAGAAAACAAGTTGAGGGGTCACATGTTGGAATACATTGGCCAGCTAACTTATGAGAAGAGTTATGTGTTTTCTGGATGACTGGTTTATTATATTGACTGGTCTAGTTTATGGCATGCTCATTAATAACAATAATAAAATATATTATTACTGTTCGTCCTTCGCATGCGATGATGACTACGGCTTGAGTAGTAGCCTTGACTTGAGCTGTATTTTGCTTTAAAAGTTATGGCGAGTTGCTCAATTCTTCAGCCTCTCTCTCTCCAGACCCCCCCCCCCCCTGCCTATTTGTTCCAATGGCAAGACGACTTGAAATGGACCAGGATGCAGTGGAGGACCAGCAGTGTTGTTTTGTTTGTTGTCTCACATTACCCTTTAATAATAATATAGCATAATTGTGTAAATATGATTTAAGGTTAACGAGATTTGTCATTAAAAAGAATTTTGAAAGAAGAAACAACATGAGTCAATGTTTCATTTGTAAAATAAGTTTTTTTGCCTTGTACATGTATGTTGTGACCGCTGGTCAGGAGGCACATGTATGTTGTGACCGCTGGTCAGGAGGCACATGTATGTTGTGACCGCTGGCCAGGAGGCACATGTATGTTGTGACCGCAGGTCAGGAGGCACATGTGTGTTGTGACCGCTGGCCAGGAGGCACATGTATGTTGTGACTGCTGGTCAGGAGGCACATGTGTGTTGTGACCGCTGGTCAGGAGGCACATGTATGTTGTGACCGCTGGCCAGGAGGCACATGTATGTTGTGACCGCAGGTCAGGAGGCACATGTGTGTTGTGACCGCTGGGCAGGAGGCACATGTGTGTTGTGGCCGCTGGTCAGGAGGAACATGTATGTTGTGACTGCTGGCCAGGAGGCATATGTTTGTTGTGGCCGCTGACCAGGTGACACATGTATGCTGTGACCGCTGGTGAGGAGGCACATGTATGTTGTGACCGCTGGTCACGAGGCCAATGTATGTTGTGGCCGCTGGCCAGGTGACACATGTATGCTATGACCGCTGGTGAGGAGGCACATATATGTTGTGATCGCTGACCAGGAGACAAGTGTATGTTGTGACCGCTGGCCAGGAGGCACATGTATGTTGTGACCGCTGGTGAGGAGGCACATGTATGTTGTGACCGCTGGTCAGGAGGCACATGTATGTTGTGACCGCTGGTCACGAGGCACATGTATGTTGTGGCCGCTGGCCAGGTGACACATGTATGTTGTAACCGCTGGTCAGGTGACACATGTATGTTGTGGCCGCTGGCCAGTTGACACATGTATGTTATGACCGCTGGTGAGGAGGCATGTGTATTTTGTGGCCGCTGGCCAGGACTAGGGTATTTGAGTTCCTGTAAGATGTGAAGGACTAAGGCAAATGAGTACCTGTAAGGTATTCAGGATTAGAGTATTTGAGTTCCTGTAAGGTGTGAAGGACTATGGCATATGAGTTCCTGTAAGGTAGTAAGGACTATGGCATCTGAGTACCTGTAAGGTGACACATGTTATTGTGACAGCTGGTAAGGAGACATCGCTTGCAGAATCAGATCGAAAAGGCAGTCAACTCAAAATATTCACTAGTGTATTGAGTACCTGTAAGGTTTGAAGTGCTAGGGTATTTGAGTACCTGTAAGGAATAAAGGATTCGAATATTTGATTATTTGAAAGGTATGAAGGACTAAAGTATTTGAGTACCTGTATGGTTTGAAGTACTAGAGTATTTCAGTACATGTAATTTGTGAAGGACTTCGGTATTCGAGTACCTGTAAGGTATTCAGGACTAGGGCATTTGAGTTCCTGTAAGGTGTGAAGGACTATGGCACATGAGTACCTGTAAGGTAGTAAGGACTATGGCATATGAGTACCTGTAAGGTAGTAAGGACTATGGCATACGAGTACCTGTAATGTGTGACAGGCTGTAGGGTATTTCAGTAACGGTAAGGTGTAACAGGCTGTAGGGTTTCGCTTCTGAATCTTTGTCTGTTGTTTAGTTTTGTTCTATTAACTGCGGGTCTATACAAACTCCTCACATCAGTTAGAGGCGATGTACATTTATTTTTTCTGTCTAAGGAAGTTGCCCCGAATAGATGAAATTGTTTTATTGATCCAAATAAATGCAATTGTGTTTCGATTACATGGTACACATTCATTTTCAGCAAATGGATACAACATTTGTTTCAGATAGCATTTTTTTGTTAATAATGTTTTTTTAATTTAAAACTAGAACAAAACATTGAAAGTATTTCTCTAGCGCAGAAATCAGCCAAGGTATACCATGAAAACCTCATTTATTTTATGACAGTGTTGAACTCAGGAGTGATCATTTGATTTTGTACCAGCCGGGGACGCACGATGGTAAATTCTGACGGATATCAAGATTACTCTCTTAATTAAGACCGGGGGGTTTTTACCCCTCCCCCCTCTTCTTCCTCATTAGCTGTGTGTATAGTGAACTAGCAGAGTCTCAATTTCCTATCACACCCCCCCAGCCACTGGCCGGTCGGTTAGTGCTGCCAGTTCTCACACTTATATACTATCACTGGTAGCAACTTTACAATTAATTTGAGGAAGACTTAAGTGAAGCTTATAACCGCCTCTAAGTAACATTAAGTCTCACACTTAAAATGAGGTTGAAAAACAAGCTAGTATACCTTTAAGTGGAATATAGCTTACTTCTGTGGGGAAAAAAAAACCAGTTACACTAAAATGTGGTAAGCATACAAGGTATTTGGCGTCCTTGCCACCCAATGTTTATTTCAGAAATTTTCCCCCGGGGGGGGGGTGGGGGTGGGCACTTCAGATTTTTC